CCAGGACCCTTCAGTCCGCAGGCCAACGCTCCATCCACTGAGCCAAACAGGCCAGGGCAACAGGGGTTTTGTTAGCAGGGAGGTTGCTAGTATGGCAGCTACCTGACAACACTGGAGGCAGCTATCACAGCAAAAACTATGGGCACATGCAAGAGAAAACGTAGGTTAACTATTTGTAAAATAAGCAACACATTTTTTCTTTCTTTACAAAAAGCCCCATGTTTCAAACCATTGATTTATTAAGTCTCTTAGGCTGGATGTCGGATGGCTCGGGATATCCACGTGTGTTTTATGTGGTTTAATAAAGACAAACGCATTAGCAGCTCGTCAAACATTCTGTTTGGATTATGTCACAGGTGCCTCCTTGTGAAGTAGCAATAATATCCAAGGCCATCTTATGTTGGAGGACAGCTTTTCTCATGGAGACATTTTAGTGTTTAGTAAGGACAGGCTTTGCTAGCTATCATTTAAGGATTGTTGGTGAATTAGGAAGGGCTTTATGTGTGCTATAATGTCCTACAGGCCAATGAAGGGAGCAAATACAATGGCCAAATGATTGTACTAGAATGTGTCCACTTAGCTTTAAGGAGAGGAAGGCTGGCAATTTTTGTTACCTTGGGGCAGGTTCTCCTGTGTCCAGAGAAAATCCAGGGTGTAGAGGCCCAACTATCCTGGTGGAAGCCATAGCCAAAGACTTGTACCATATTACCATTGGGTCCCATTTGAGGTTACCCAATAAATACTTACGTGGTGTGGCCAGTCAGTACCAAACCAGTTATTACCCTTAATGTGACAGAATGACTATCTAGTTCCAGGTTATCCATCCATTTCCCTGGTCTGAGTTGCTTTTGTATTTCATTGGCAATCTGGCATCCTTGCAAATATGTCATCCCACCCTGGCACTATACTAGCTGTTATTTCTCTGCATCCAATCTGCTATATCTGCTAGAAGAAGGTCTATTGCTAGGGTTCGCACCCAAACTAAGGAATCTAGTTCCTGATTTCCAGAGCTATCAGAATCTTATAAGCTGGGATGTGGCAAACACTGAGGACTACCTGAGTCTCTTGCAGGTGAACCCAAATGTCTTCTCATGTATCCCGACCCCACAAGGGCTTATTCATGATCATCCATCCCTTAGCTTCTTATTGTCCAAGTCATAGGGTTAATCTCTTTAGAACAGCCCCACTGTGAGTGCAACGGGTTAACAGCCAAGCCACATGAGTGGTCACAAAGCAAAATGCTCTGAGTTCAGGCTACTGGCTACTGTGGTTCATTCCTGTTTCCATCCAGATGGTGTCAGTGTTGGGTTGAATAGCGACTCTAGTCCATGTGGGTGAGTTGCCCCAACTAGACCCATCTGCCTACCAAGCATCAATGGGAATTTCCTTCATTCCTTTTCTTCCAGCCCCCGGGTCTGCCTGGATATAGGGACACAGGCATTTGGCAAATCTACATACCCTACAGGGCCTAGTAGCACTTGCATTTCTAGGAGCCACTGGCAGACAAGGTGCTCATCTGCTGCAAATGAGATTGCTGTTTAGCCAGCATGGGAGTTTGAGCCGTGGTAGAGGTGGGTCAATGGAACATGGAACATAGTCTCAGCCCACCCCTGATAGGAAGGGAGGCTTGTATCATGATATGCTGTTTCTTCGTGAAAGGCTCTACCTTAGAAGAGCACCGTGTACACTGTTAGGAGCTGTTGCTCTATGGGGGTAAATAGGGTTGTATGCCCCCTTCCAGACCTTGGGCCAAAATCCTAGGCGTACTCTTTCATGTTGTCTGTCATAGTGAAACAGGAATTTTTAGGGGTAAAAGGGGACCAGTTTAGGAAATTTTGGAAATTAAGGAGACCATGGAGAAAGCACAGGGCTGCAGAGCAGCAGAAGGTATATTTCCATAGAATAGGGAAGCTGAAAGCTGCAACAGGTACATTTCCATAGAATGAGGGAGCTGGGAACAGCAAAAGGTCTATATTTACAAAATAAAGGGAAGGAAGCCCTTCATCCAGAAGGAGAAGAAGAAAGCCCAAAGGGAATAGGAAAATAATAAGGGGGTGGAGGGAGGAGGACCTCACATGTCCCATGTGAGGTTCAACCTTTGAGCCCTGAAGTTACTGTAGTAACCAGTCCAAGGAATAGTGACCAATCAGAGGGGATATCAAGGCACCAGGATCTGCATCCTTCATAAGCCATAGGGAAAAGGAACTCAGTGGGACTCTTCCCCCTCCCTATGTAGGAGTCTTCACTTATACTTTAATAAATCTCCACCTTTGTTATATCACCTCTGTCCGTGGATTTATTCTTTGACTCCGCAGACAAAGAATCTGGGACATCCTGCCCAAGGGAACACCGAGTGTTCCAGTCCAAAAATTCTGTTTCATTAGTGCCCAATCCATACCTTCCAGCGCCACATCGAACTCAAATGGCAGCAGTGCTTGTGAGAATCTCAGAGCTATTCTTGCCTTTTCAAAGGCGGCATGTTGTTCTGATCCCCAATCCCATGTGTGCACTATCTTAACCAGGCATTATAACGGATGGAGACACTGCGCCATATGGGGAATAAAAGTCCTATGAAGCCCCCAAATTACTACCAATACTAGCATCTATTGTATGTTCTTAGATGTTTATAGGCTTGCATCTTATCAATCACAGCTTCTGAGACAAAGTGCGTCTTATCTGACCCAACAGCTTCCCAAAACTACAGCAGTGCCCAGCTTTGAATTTTCTGTGGGTTCACTGCTCATCTTCTCCTTCGCAGATGTTCCGGCAAAGTCTAGTGTCCTGTGGCCTAGGCAAGTCTTCTCATGTTAACATCATCTTATCGAGGTCATGGGACCATTTTACTGATGTGGGGAAGGAGAACGCGGACAGGCCTCAGGCTAGCATCCCAGGACATATTGTGGGGCTATTAGGTAGCCTTGGAGAAGCACTTGGAAAGCCCATTGTTGCCCCTCCCAGGTGAAGGTGATTTTATCTTGTGACTCAGTGGCCAGAGATATATTGAAATTTTTTTTTTCTAAGTCATTATAGCAGGACACATTCCAATGTGCCTAAAATGGTGAAAATGTAAGGCACAGACTCATGGATGGGAGACATCACCTTAATCAATTCTTAGTAGCCCACAGTCATCTGCCAGGAGACACTGGGCTTTTGTACCAGCATTCCAGGCTGTTGAAAGAACTGTGGGCAGAGCACACAATACCCACTCCAGGTAGCCTTGGATAATTTCTCTTATTTTGTTATGTTCCCCTCCCCCAGGTGATTTAATATTGTTTGACAGTTACTGTCTTCATGGTTGTGGTAGATTTACTGGCTCCCAGTTGACATTTCCCCTCAGCATTTGTTTGATTGCTCTAACCCAGAGATAGAATTCAGTGCTAGAGATATGCAAAGTTTGACTTTGTAGGATATCAATGCCCAATATGTCCTCAAGTATTGAAAAGAGAAAACTGCATTCTTGTGTGGGAGAACACCCAATTTGTAGAGTCAAAGCTATTTACTCTCTGCAACCATTGATGGTGCCAAGAGGGCCAGAAAACTTCGGAGGGTTACAATGTATTAGAGCAGCGGTTCTCAACCTGTGGGTCATGACCCCTTTGGGGGTCGAACGACCCTTTCACAGGGGTCACCTAAGACCATCAGAAAACTTTTTTTGCTGACTCTCTAGCCCTCTCCCTTCTTCACTGTAAAAAAAAATCAATAAAATATATTTTAAAAAAATAATAATAATTTTATGGTTGGGGGTCACCACAACATGAGGAACTGTATTAAAGGGTCGCGGCATTAGGAAGGTTGAGAACCACTGTATTAGAGCATATTGAGCTCCAGGGTCAACCAGAGCCCTCACCTGTTGTTTGTTTCTGGGGAACCAGGAATAGTGAGCTAAACATAAGGCCTCCAGTTGTCTCCGAGGGCCCTCACCTGGGAGGGCCCTCACCTGGGGGCAATCTTGGCCTGCGGTTTACACCCTGCGTCCTGGGAGGCACTTATCCCTAATAGGGCTATATCCCTAAGGCCTTTGCTGGAGCAGGCATGGCATCAGGGATGGGTGGGACAGGTCTGAACTCCTGTTTAGGTTCTAAGGCTTTCCACAGGCTGACCAATGCAGGGTTGCTGGCCTATCTTTTCAGGTGGGATCTCTGCAGCAAGGATGTCAAACCACATTTGTTTGGGGGTTACTTTTATGAACTCTTTAAGGCTGATGGGGTAGCCTTTTTGCTTTCTGAGCTCCCTCTCTGTAGTGAGTCTTTCCCACAGCCTAAACCCATTCCTGAGATTTTTTCAGTGTCCCCAAGATCAGCAATGGATTCCCTAATATCATAAATGTTTTGTTCCATAACTGGGGTCAGCATGGATGCCAATGCCCCATACCAGGATCTTGGCATGGACTGGAATTGTTTGGCTTGAGTCCTGCTGCAAACATAGCCCTATTAGGGCCTTCAAAGATAAGGGCATGGATGCCTGTCTCATTCCCAGCTCCCTAACAAGTTCTCCTCTGTATTTTCAGGGATGCTTGTGCCCCCATCCTCAACTCATGCATGAATCGCACGTGCCTCCCCCAGTGCTATGTATCCCGTGGCCCGCCTGCACCTCGTCTTCTGTCGCCCAACCAACCCAACACCTGCCACTTCTTCTAACGCCACTTCTTCAAAATAGAAATCGCCCAGGCCGAAAACCGGCTTCTGCGCATGGGCCACGAAGTTTCAATTGCACTGTACGTGTGCACCCACATGTGGTATTTTGTGGAAGAGCCACAGTCAAGGGGCCAAAGAGCCACATGTGGCTCTCGAGCCACAGTTTGCCAACCACTGCCCCAGGAGATCCTTCTCATTGGGCCAAACCTCTCTTCAGGCCAGAAGAACCCAATCTATAAAGGCTTGGAGTGCTTTGAATCCCCCAATCACCATGCTGATGCTGCTGGAGGGCAGGGTGTGTGGTGATGTTGCTCATTTCTTCTGCCACCTGCCCAGTTAGAGAGGTGCCATCTCCCCCTATATTTCAAAGCCACACTAACCATGCCTGGCAATGTTCCTTGGCCTTTTGTTAGAACTTGGCAGCTCTATCAGTAAGCTTAACAAGAGGACAGTCTCTCATCGCGAATGTTTCCTGAGTTGCGGGCTGCCCTGCTGTCAGGGATTGCTGTTGCTGTGCTTTCGTTTTCCTTTGTCTTAGGGGTTGGAGTGCGCAGGGCATTTTGTCTGTTTTACTGCCAATCACAACATCTTGCACTTGTTCTCCTCACTTTCCCAGGGATTCCACCGCTTAGTGTCCCAATTAGGCTCTGTCAGAAGTGCTCAGACTTCAGTACACATTGGCTTATGCCCCTCTAGCTTTGCAAAATCAGCACGCTAAGGTCTCCAACTTATTATCTTGTTTTCCCACCTTGCCTGCCAGCCTCGAAGCTAACAGACTAGTGGACAACCATACATGTGTCGCTAACCTCAGCTCTTCTTCCAACTTTCTAACCCAGGCCAGCTCACTGTGGCAAACATTTTCCCCTTTGCCAGGATGTTATGTGCAGCTCCTCAAACAAGTGCATTAGATCAGCCAGCATTTCGGGGTGGCCCCACGTTCAAATGGCAGTCCGCAAGCATCTGACATACAGGCCACCCCTTCCCACAGGGAGATCAAAGGCCAGCTCGGGATTTCCACTGTGAAGGCCTCTTTCCCAAGGCTCATTTCTTGGGTCTCCAGGCTGTTTTGCCAATTGTTGATTCACACTCTCAGGAGTTTCCCGGGTAACATCTGACACTAGCTGCTGCACATGAAGGGCAATGAGAGACCAAACAATGAGGCAGGTCACCGCAGAATGGTAGGTGGCAGGTTTAATCAGTAAGGGAGCTAACCTTGGAGGCTTATCTTGGGTGACTGCAAAAGGAGTAGGTCACCACACCCACCCATCAGAATCTTAAAAGTTTATACAGAGGCATTAGCTGAATTCAGTCAGGTATGCTATCCAGATGGTCTCAACAACACTGAAGAAATTAGAAGAATCTCAGAATAGCCCTCCCTGGCCAGGGTGGCTCAGTTGGTTACAGCGTCATCATCTTGTGTACCAATGTTTCCCTCTTTCTCCTCTCTCTCTCTCTCTCTCTGTCTCTCTCTCCTTTTTTTCTCTCTCTTTTCCTCTCTCTCTAGAACCAGTGAAAACATATCCTCAGGTGAGGATTTTTTAAAAAAGGTCAGAATAAGTGTAAATAGACTGTGTTCATAGATTAGAAAACAGTGGAAATTCATCAATATCTCCGAGTCAATCAACAAAAATGTTCAATAACATTCCAATTATAATTGCAGCTGAATTTTTAAGGAATGCAACAAGCTGTCTCCAAAATTTCAACAGAAAAATGAATGTCAAAAAATACCTAAGTGTACTTTGAAACAGAAGAGCAAAGACTGATGACTTGTCCTGTCAGATATTGACAAAGTTCCAAACCACAATATTAAAACAGTTCCATGCTGGCTCAGGAGCAGCTCAGAAAAAGACCATTTATGTGAGAACTTGATATATGACAAAGATGCCATCATAAGGTAAACAAAAAGGAACGGATTGTTTATTAGATAGTGTTGCCAAGACAACTCCCTAAATCAAGGAAAACAGAGTCAGGCCCCTACCTTAAACTATGTGCAAGATAGACCCCAGATGGATTAAAATCCACTTTTGCAAGGTAAAGCCATGATGCTAATACAATAAAATGAAAAAAATATTTTTGCAAAATAAAACTTTTTAAAAAGTTTTAATTACAGTTGGTATACAATGTTATATTAGTTTTAAGTGTACAACATAGTGATTAGACATGAAAGGAAACATTTTAAACAATATTCCTAACTTAAAAGAACAACAAAATTATATGGATTTGATTACATAATAATTCAAGATTTCTATTTATAAAACACTATAGACAAAGTTATAGAAACATAAAAGACTAGTAGAAAATACCTAGATTCACCAAAATCTGGGCAAATCAATAGGAAAACAATAGGCAACCTAATTAGAAAACAAGAAAATAATTTGAATAAACAACTTATGAAAAAGAATGCCCTAATAACTGATCAGTAGAGATGCACAAACTCCCCAGTAATCACAGTTAAAACAAGTTAAATTATCTCTTATTGAAATGGCAAATATCTGCATGAGAATTTATAGAGAAAGCAGCTCTAATATATTGTTGGTAGAGCTGTAAAGTAAAGCCATTCTGATAAAAAATCTGGTAAAAATTAGCAAAATAAAATATATGCATGTACTATGTCCGAACAACCCAACTCTGGTATAAATAGAGGGTCCAGGTAAATTTCTCACAAAGAGTTATTTTATTCCTTTATCACAACAATTTAACTGATTTTGGTTCTTGTGGCTCAGGTAATATTTATGTGTATTGTGTCTGTGTGTTTGTGTATGATCAGGGGAAAAACAAGAAGTTTCTGTGCCTCCTGAACAGATGTTGTGAGTTGGACACTACAGGAGAATAGAAAAGAGAAAAAAGACTTGATTTAGGCTGAGAAAGAGTTAGATCCCTTGTGAGTAGAATGAGAGAGAGGGATGGGTTTCCCTCACTGGAGAAGAGCTATGCTCCACTCTCAAGCAGCTGGCCGGCATTGGTAAACACATTAATCTGGAGGCAACACTTAATGGTTTATTGAACACTTACTATGTGCCTAGCAATATAGCAGGCTGTGTATTAGTTAGGAAAACAAAGATAAATAATAAAAATATGTAATATGTTAGGTGAAATCATTGATAAGGGGGGAAAAAGAAAGCAGTGAAATGACACATGAAATATTAAAGAGGTTTAAAATTTTAGCAATGAGAAGAACGGTTTCACCAAGAAAAGTAAAGACCTAAAGAAAGTGAATGAGCTAGCCATGGGAATTTAGAGATGGGAGACAGGTATCCCAGGCAGAGGAAATAGAAAATGCAAACCCTCTGGATGAGGACTTTCTAGAGTGGTTGAAAACTGTGTGGGGTTCAGTGTGGCTTGTAGAGGAGTGAGAGAGTATAGGGAATGATGTCAGACAAGTAATAGAGGCCTAGTGCAGGTGGCTCCCCCTGCCCTTTTTGAAAATCTGAGTGAGAAGGGAAAAGATTAAAATAATTAGACTCTGTGTGTTTAATGAAGAATTAACTGAAGAAGGTAGGTGTAGAACCAGTGAGACCAGTTAGCAAGCTATGGAAATAATCCACAGCAGGATGATGTGGGCATGGAGCCAGGTGATGGCAGCAGGTATAATGGAGAAACGGTCAAATTCTAGATGCGTTTTGAAAGTGAATTCAATAGGATTTCTTCTTGAGCAACCCTGGATAAATCAAGAGGACCCCCTGAACACCTGGAGGAAGAAGTTGCTAATAACTGAGACAGAAAAGACTTCAGAGGAGCTGGTTTTGGTGCGTTGGAGCGCCCAGGTTGTAGTACATGTTAACTTTAAGATGCTTATTTGTCAACTCAGTGGAGTTGACCAATATGAAGTTAGATATAAGGGCCTAGAGATCAATGAAGGAGTCCAGGGTAGATATAAAAGTGGAAGTCATCAGCATAAAAGTAGCATTTACTACCATGAGACTCAAAGTGATAGCCTATAGAGAGAACGTACATAGACAAACTAAATTTTCAAGGTCTGAGCCCAGTGCTCAATATAAAGGACTAGATAGAAACAAACAGCAAAGAGACTTTAAAAGGGCATCCAGGAAGGAAAGAATTAAAAAACAAAACAAAACAGGTGAAACTGAAGTCCTAGAAACCAAGTGAAAACATTTTTCAAAGAAGAGAGATTTATAAATTATCAAATGCTGCTGCTAACTCAAGTGAAATGAAAGTGGCAAAATTACCTTTAGATATAGCAACATGAAGGTCACTGCAACCTTGATAAAAACAGTTTTAGTGAGAATAGGGGAGAAAATATTAATTTATTTAGTTAACATGACCTCATCTTAGGTTTATGAACACAGCACCTAGTAGAGAACTTGGCATATAATACATATTTTTTTTAATAAACCAGTGCACTTAAAAGTGGCTACCTCTGAGGAGCATTTCCCCCTTGGTTTAAATTTGACAACTTGAGTTATATGCGCCTAA